CTTTGCCTGGGTCACCATCGCGGTGCTATCCGCCAGGAAGGCCAGTAGCTCCTCAGGAACCTGTTCGTGCTCGGTCGCTTCTTCTGGCTTCTGGCCCCTGATCGTCCACGGAATCCATCTCCTCGTCGTGCTTTGCGTCTTCGGGCCGCTCGCCGCCGTCCTCCGCGGCGTCGTCGGGGTCGCCCTCCTGGCCACCGCGCACTGCGTGTGCGGCGCGACCCCGCCGCGGCCCGCGGCCCGCCCTGGCCTTCGACGGGCCCGGTTCGGGTGCTCTCGATGGACTCCGCCTCCGCCGCCCGCTCTCGGCGGCAGGGCTGACGTCCTCCGCGGCATCGATGCGCGGGGCAGGCACGCCTTGGCGGAGCCCCGCAGCTTCTCGTATACGAGCTCGTTGCCAGCGCCCGTGGTGATCTGGCTCTCCACGTCGCCTCCCGCTCGAGCTTCTTGAGGAACTAGTGCGCCTTCATGTGTTTGTTCAGAGTTCAGAGGCTCGTCCATGGCCGCCTCGAGCTCACGGATCTTCGTCTCGCTCGTCCACCAGCGCGCCAACCTTCAGCGTTCCCTGCCGCGCTCGCTGTGCAAGTAGCACAGGAACTCCTGCGCGCCGTCGGGCACGGCGAGGGCCTCGGGGTCGAAGTTCCCCATCTTCGCTCCATCGCCCCCCCTGAGCCTGGAGAGCAGCCGACCGCCCCGCCGCCGGGGCGGGATCGCAGTGTTCAGCTCCGAAAGCCTTCACCTGGCGCTCGTAGGTACGGAGCGACGGAGCGGCACCAATGTGCCGCCTCACTCGGGGACGTACTTCTCGCCTCCCCAGTCGCGCCTGTCTCCGTCTCCGACAGCTCCGCCGACGGCTCACCAGCCGTCTCAGCTCCAAGTCTCCGACCGTTCACTGGACGTCCGACCCCGACCCGGGTCGGCCCTGGCCTCCGCTGTCCACCCGCGCCGGGCGGGCGCCACGTCCGGTTCTGGTCTGCGGGGGCCACGGCGCCCCTGCTCCTCGGACAAGGAACTCCCCCACTCACGCCAAAAGAGTCCGTGAGTGCCCCAGTCACTCCACGAGTCCAATCCGCCGTAGTAGCGCCACGCCTCGTCCCCGGGAGCCTCCCGCGCCGCGGGTGGCTCCTCCGACGCGCGCCGCAATGGCAGCGTGCCGCGGTCGGCCCACGTACCGTCGTCGGCCGATCGGAAACAATCGTCTTCTTCGGGGCCACTGGCCCGGGGACTGCCCCCTTCCTCCGCACGCCGTGCGAGGGCTCGATCTGCTACTGCCCAAATGCCCATGTCCCTTACTGAGGACATGCTCGTTCCCCGGTGGGGTCGGGCCTCGCTGAGGCTCCTCCGCCACGACCTTCGCGGCGGCACTCCGTGCCGTGGATCGAACCCGCTCGGCGGTAGCTCCGCTACCAGTGTCGATGTGATGTGCTTGTTCACCACAAGCGGTGCTGCCTTGCGGCAGGCAAGTCAAAAGAGGCTAAGCCCTCCATCCGTCCTAGCGTCGGGAAGGCTTGTAGCGGAAAGCGGCGTCGGGAAGGGAGGCCGGTGGATGTGGCAGCAGTGATTTTCAACAGTTTGAACCGGAGCGTCTCATCCAAATCATGTCTCAGTCGTCGCCTTTGGGCTCCTCAGGCCTGAACCTGCATGACATTTCAAGCGGGAATATCGTATGTGAGTGAATCGCGGGGAAGTTCGTCTGTGAGTGAATCGCGGGGAAATCCACCGATCCGGCGTGTGAGTTTCTGAGAGCGTGGGCTTGAGCTCGCTCAAGCTTCGCTCTGCGGGGGGGGGGACCTCATGACCGACCTAATTCAGTGCTTCGCAGGGAGGGGGGGGACCTGATTTCCGACCTATTTCAGTGCTTCGCACCCCCCCCTCCAGAGCGACCCCCCCCCTGCAGAGCGCCCTCCCCCCCCCCCTCCTGCAGTCCAGCCCCCCCCCCCCTGCAAAGCGGACCCCCCCCCTGCAGCCCCCCCCCCTGCAGAGCAGACCCTCCCCCCCTCCCCTGCACCCCCCCCCTGCAGAGCAGACAAGCGGACCTCCCCCCTGCAGCCCCCCACCCTGCAGAGCGACCCCCCCCCCTCCTCTGCACCCCCCCCCCGTGCAGAGCAGACCCCCCTCCTGCACCCCCTCCCCCTGCAGAGCGGACCCCTCCCCCCTCTGCAGCCCCCCCCCCCCACACCCCCTCTGCAGAGCGGACCCCCCCCCGTGCAGCCCCGCCCCCCTGCAGAGCGGACCCCCCCCCCTCCCCTGCACCCCCCCCCCTGCAGAGCAGACCCCCCCTCCTGCAGCCCCCCCCCCCCTGCAGAGCGGACCCCCCCTCTCCCCTGCAGTCCCTCCCTCTGCCGAGCGGACCCCCCCTGCAGAGCAGACCCCCCCCCCTGCAACCCAGTCGTCGTCGTCGTCGTCGTCGTCGTCGTCGTCGTCGTCGTCGTCGTCGTCGTCGTCGTCGTCGTCGTCGTCGTCGTCGTCGTCGTCGTCGTCGTCGTCGTCGTCGTCGTCGTCGTCGTCGTCGTCGTCGTCGTCGTCGTCGTCGTCGTCGTCGTCGTCGTCGTCGTCGTCGTCGTCGTCGTCGTCGTCGTCGTCGTCGTCGTCGTCGTCGTCGTCGTCGTCGCGTCGTCGTCGTCGTCGTCGTCGTCGTCGTCGTCGTCGTCGTCGTCGTCGTCGCTCGCGTCATCGTCGTCGTCGTCGTCGTCGCTCGCATCGCCGTCGTCGTCATCGCCGTCGTCGTCGTCGTCGTCGTCGTCGTCGTCGTCGTCGTCGCTCTCGTCGTCGTCGTCGTCGACGTATTCGTTTTCGTCGTGGTTTTCGTCTTCCTCGTCGTCGTTCATTTCCACAGGCACCCGGAGCGCCCCGGATCGGCGGCACTGGCCGGAAGCCACTACAATCTCGAGCCGGGGCCCTCTCCATAGGGGTCCCCGCCTCCGTGTTCGAATCGCAACGGTTTATCCGAATGTTGTAACTGTCGTCACTTTGGGGCTCCAAGGGAGTGGGAGGAGGCGGAGGAGGATGAAGAAAAGGAGAGGGGGCTTCCTTCAGGGCGGCAGAAGGAAAGACAGAGGACAAAAAGACTCCGCATCGACAAGGACGACGATGAGGTGCACTTCCACATGAGTTTGGCAGCTGCTCATGCTGGGCCCCCCCGTCGGAGTAATCCTGTTGAGGTTAAGTTGAAATCCAACAAGCCCGCGGAGGAGGAGGTCGTAGAGTATTCTTTTGAAAAGAGAACCAACGAGGTGCAAGCTATGTGGTGCAAGCCATGATGTGCAACCTATGTAGTGTAAGCTACGCGGCGCAACCTATGTGGTAACCTACGTGGTGAAAGGTATGGTGTGCAGTCTGCGTGATGCACGCTATGTGGCATACGTTAGGTGGTGTAAGCTATGTTGTGTAAGCTGTGTGGCGGAAGCTGTGTGGTGTAAGCTTTGCGGTGCAAGCTAAGTGTTGCAAGCTAGGTGTTGCAAAACACGTGGTGCACGCCATGGTGGTGGAGGTGATGTCTCTGCGGTGCAAGCTGGGAGGAGCACCCAAGACGCGCATAGGGGCGGGCACCAAGCGGAACCTTGGCAGATGTCCCCAGCGCAGGGCGCCCACGAGGCGCCCACGGGCGGGTACCAGGCGACACCCTGGCCCACCCCCCCCCCAGCGCGGGGCGCGCCCAGGGGCGGGCGGCAGGCGAGACCTCGACATACGCCCCGAGTGCGGGGCGCCCACGAGTTGCCGACGAGCGGGCACCACGCGAACCCTCGGCATATCCCTCGAGCGCGTGACGCCCACGAGGCGCCCACGAGGCGCCCAAGGGCGGGAACCACCCGAACATCTGCAATACCCAAACAATTTTCCTTAAGACAGGGAATAAGGGCCCCTTCGTGCAAGCACTGTGTGGACGTATCGCTGGCTTCCACGCCCAATCGGAGAGACAGTGATTCAGGGCCAACCAAGCCATGGAAGGACGAAAGAGGCATGCGGAACGCCCCTATTCCACGAGCACGGGGACTCCATGAAAAGCAGGAAGACAGTCAGACAAGGCTGGACGAGTGGGTGGAACTCGGCGCATGAAGGGAGGAACACAAGGAGGGGGAGGAACTGAACGTTGAAGGGAGGACGGAATGAGAGAGAAAACAGGAGAGACTAGGAGATGCACACGTGGGAGAAATGGGCAGAATGAGAACCATGGAACTACGAATAACTTGCACGGCGATGGCGGCGAGCACGACGCTGTCAAGAGTTCGGGCAGAGGCGTGGGGAGAGACGGAGCTGGCAGAGTAAGAGGATGACGGATCCAGAGCCCGAACTCCATCTTCGCAATCCAGTGACGCAGTCACCCGACAGACAAGCAAATGTTTCAAGGCAGCCCTTGGGCGAACAAAAGCTGGGGAGAGAAAAAATACTGGACATAGCGATCCCATCAGCCAGCCCGCCAGCCTACTGCCGCCCAGATGGGAAAAGGATAACGGGATGAGAAATGGGAGAGATAACCAAACTGAACCGAGTCTGGGCCTTCTTCCCGTGGGGATGCAGGGGGGGAGCGGAGTGGGCCTGTGACGGCACGGGCATTCGCAACGATGCAGAAATCGGAAGATTGCCCGATCGATGAAGAAACCGAATCGGATCTGACACAATGCGCGAGGCACACTCGCATGACATCTGCAACTTTTGGCCCTGAAAAAACTCGGGGACGATCGTCGAGATCGATAGTGAAACTTTCCACCCTGAATGTGGCAGTGACAGAGCTGGTGAAACAGTGACGATGTGTCCCATCATGATTCTAAACCTTCCGAGGCATCCTCGCGCCATCGTTGGGACGTCCATTTCCCGTGCAATGTTTGGCTTCGTGCGCTCATTATTCTACCGCAGGAAGACCCAACATGATCCTCGATGGTCGCTGCCGGAAAACATGCACACGTCGGAGCAATGTCAAGTCCTTTCTCTTCCTCCTTTGCTAGATTGGCTGTGGGCTGAAATCGGTTTCCGAACGCGGCTGCAAGATGTCAGCGCGGGCGGGCCTCCGACGCAGTCCCAGTTCGTGAACGGCGGCCAGGTGTACGACGGTGGCTCCGGGCGGGCGAGGGGTGGAAGAGGTGTTGGGTGCGAAAGGGAGGGCGCGACTGGACAGGGCGAAGCAAGCACGACGGCACGACGCTAACATATTGCAGCGTCAAGCGCTGCGACCCCACAGCGGGGAAGCAAACGCGAACCCAACAGAGCGCAAATGCGGCACTTCCGTCCACGCAATGTATTCACGGTGTGTGCGTGTGCGTGTGCGTGCACGTGCCATGTCTTGCACGTGAACGCTGGTCGCGACATGCCATGAGCAGCGCGCGTACTACTGCCGCATGCGGGGGCAACGCGTTCGTGCTTATTGCCCGGCAGCGCGCTTAAGCCTGTTGAAGCAAGGGGCGTGTGTGCGTGCATGCTCAAACCGAACCACACGATACCCAGCAACGTGTCACACGGCAACATTATTTGTGATGATGTTCTTCACGCTACGGGCCTGGTCGTGTGTCCACGCCGTGTGTATCTGTGGCAAGCAGGCACACGTCATATGTTTGTTTGGCTGATTGTATGCACTTAGCGCTCTGGCTATGAAGGCAAGCCGCTTCGTGCAACGCAACCAGGCAGCGCGCATGCACACACACACGCACACACACACGTTTTGGCGTCGCGGCCACGCGTGCGGCGGCGCGGCGTAAGCAATCGAGCGGGAGAACACACGCGGCCGGGCCAGATCACGGAGCGGGGGGACCAGGAATTTGGCTGGGTCACTCGCGGTAGGCCGCAACGGGGGGGAGAGAGGAAACGTGGCGGCAAGTGGAGGTGTGCGGTGCAAGAAGCAAGACAGGCGCAGCGTCAAAGTGCGGCAGCATTCTGAAAGAGGGGCGCATGCACGCACACACGCAAACACACACATGCCCACACACATTTTGGCGGTCGCGGTCTCGCGCGCATCGACGGGGCGGAGCAAGTCGAAGAGCGGCGGGAGCGGGCGCGCGCGGCCAGGCCCTCAAGCGGGATCGCTTTGGACCGCCGCGCGTGCCATCCTAGGGAGCGGCAGCCATCACTCACGACATACAACGCAACACACACACACACACACACACACACACGTACTCACACACACGAAAACACACAAACACACACACACACACACGCATACACACACACACGCATACACACTTTTTGGCGGAAACGGCCTCGCGCGTGGCGACGAGGCGAAGTCATAAAGAGTACAAAGCGCGAGGTCGCGGCCAGGCCAGTCAGAAGCTCACACACACGCACAGACACAGACATAGACACAGACACATACATACAGACACAGACACAGGCACACAGACTCAGACACACAGACCCAGACACAGGCACAGACACACAGAGGCACAGAGTAAAGAGACACATATACACATAGACACGGACACACACACACAAACACATACACACGACCCCCCCCACACACACACACACACACACACACACACACACACACACACACACACACACACACACACACACACACACACACACACACACACACATACACACACACAGACACACACACACACAAACGCACACACACAAACGCACACACTCTCCACACACTCTCCACACACACTCTCCACACACTTCACCCACCCACCCCACCCGCACCCGCACCCGCACCCACACTCACACCCACACCCACACCCACACCCACACACAAACACACGCACGCACACACACACACACGAACATACACACACAAGCACACACACAGACAAACAGACCGCTGCGCTTGCAGAGAATGCACGTTTCAAATGGAATTGGTTATCGCTTCGGTGTCCGTGAAACAATGACTGGAACGCCCCGCGCAGCATCCACTACGAAGCCGTCATGCGATGCCATCTGGGCAACAAGGACAAGTGGGCATTACGCGGCTTACGCAAGCCGCGGCTTACGCAAGCCGCCAGCGTGGCACACCGCGTGGGTAAGAGGGCGGTCACGCGCGACCTTACGCAAAAAGCTTACGCACGGCTGTCTGCGTAATGGGCCCAGTTTTCTTCCTGCGCTCATGCTGCTTCCTACGTGCTCACTGGGGCAATGTATCCAAAACTCCTTGCGTCTCTGTCCGTAGCAACATCTTCCACGTCTCCTGGTCCACAGGCCTGCCGTGCTCGCTGTCTGGCGCACCCACACGACACGCCAAGAGTCGGCCGTTGAGAGAAGGCGATATCTGCGGTGAGCGTGGCCTGCTTTTTATGTGTACTGACCACGCCGACGAACTGTTTCGATTCACCCGCCGCGTGTTCCACAATCGCAGAATTTCACACATCCGCGCGGATTTCCTGAAGCGCTGGGCCCCCGTCCCCACATCCCCTCTGCAAGGCGCGGAGCGCTAGGGGCGGCCCCGAAGGGGCCGCAAGACTTGTGGGGAGGGGGGTCCAACGCCCTACCAATTCCACGAAGGCATCCAACATCGTGAGTTCCTGTAGTTTGTGTTCTTCGGGGCAGGGCCACTATTCAGGGCCTCGCCGCTCCACGTCAATGAATGTGGGTCGCTTCAGAAACATCCCCAAATTGAGGGATGCGCCCGGCTAAAAGAGCTCCTGCGCCTCCTCTCATGTATCACACACCAGCCGGAGCAACCCTTCCCGTGCAGGGCGGCGCGCCTTGGGTGCCGTGGCAGCAGCCTCGTCCAGAGCCAGATCTGTCTGGCCATTCCCCGCTGTCAGCGTGGCTGCCGCCGCAACCACCGCCGCCAGGCGGCCCATGGGCCGTGATGCAGAAGGAGAGGATGAGTGGGAAGGGGGGCAAGTGGAACATAGGGGGAGGAGGACAACGGAGGGCGAGACATGCGGGGGGAGTGCGAGGATGGGTGAGGAGGATGAGGAGGAGGAATGATTCAGAGCCAAGTCCTGGACGAAAAGGCCCGCGTGGGGGCAGGACGGAAGAGGAGAAGGATGAGGGAGAGAAAGGAGGAAGGAGCCAGAGGAGGAGAGGGAGAGAGGGGGGGGGGAGACGGGGCAAGCCCAAGAGCGTGCCACCGCACTGCGCTTCGGCGGACGCAGCGGCAAACCTCGGCATGACATCGCACGCCGTGACGGGCTCATGGGTGAACGGGCGATGGCGATGGCAACGTGACGGTGCGGGGATCGAGGATGGAGCGCGGGATACAGGTAGGGAATCGCCCGCCTCACTCTGCTTCTTCTCCTCCTCCTGCGTCTCCACCCCGGGGCACTCCCAACGCCCAGCGGCAAACATCAGGACTTACGCCGGATCCAAAAATTCACTTACCATCCCAAACATCTATCAACTGCGCGGGTGGCGTCGCGGGGGGGGGGTCATTCTCCTGAAAGCCTCCGGGGCTGCTTCTGAGGGTGTGCCAGGTCCTCGGAGTACGTAGCCCTCCTTCTCCTGATACTTTTCCTCCTCCCCCTATCTCCTTTTCACCTCCTCCAGCGTCAGCCGTTCCCTGCTTGTCCACCTGCTCTGTTCCTCCTAGTGCTCTGCCTCCGTCTCCTTCCTCGCCCTCCAGTTCCTCTTCCAAGGTCTCATGCTGCTCCTGCGCTCCTCCCTCTGCATGTATGTCATTCCGTCATTCGCGATCCTCCTCCATCCTTCCCCTCTCTTGAGATCCTATGAACAAATCCTCGTCTCGTCGCATCGATGGCCGTGTCTGCAAGGCGGGCGGGCCGTTTCCCCTGAAGATTCGCCAGCGTGTATGGAGGAGGATGGAGGAATGTCATTTTCAAGATGGTTCCCGACAATGCGCCAATGCGCCGCGAACACTCGTCGTTACATCTGCCGACTGTTACATCGGTGGACAGACACTCCTAGCCTAAATCCAGCTATCGCTTTACCACCGCACACAGCGTCTCAATTACCCGTTACAGCAGCTCCACTGACGGAGGGCGTCCCCTTGAGACCTCTTGCGTTTATGGCAAGAACAAAGAGAACGTGCGCAACAATGCCACGGACGGACGAATGCTGCTCCTTATGACGGGCTCTCGCTGAACATCTCCTTAGACTGTCTCACGCTACCCACTGGCTTTCGTCGAGCTCAAAAAATGCAGATACTTCCCTTTTCGCAGTGGGGATGCCAGTCGAACGGCAGTTCCACAGTTCCATAATGATGGTTTCAAGGTGGGTATGCGCATTCAAGTTTTGCTAAACATAATGAGAAGGCCTTGCGATGACGGAAACTCGGGCGGGAGGGCCAATTGAAACATCGCTGCTGCACCCTGGGTTTGCTCTGGCCCATCCTCCGGGCCCGGCCTCGAGCAAACGCTCTGCAACGGGAAAGCTTGAGGCCTCCCAGTCGGGTGCATTTTTTCGCGGGCGCCCACGGGAACCACGACGGCCGCGCTCTTCGCGTGATGACCAGCTGCCCGATCGGGGCATTGGTCTGAGGACTGCGCCCAGGAGGCTTCGGAGCCTGGAGGACTCTTTCTCTGATGAGGGCGGCGGTGGTACCCAGGGCCACGCCTCAATGTGTGTGCCACCAGACTGCAGACCCTGGATTCCTGATCCAATGGCTCCTGATCCACCGTCCTCTTCCTCAGCGTGAGCGACAAGAAAGGGGGGGATAGTGGGCGGAAGAGGGCAAAGGATGCGAGGGGGGCGGGGAGCCACGCGCAGAAGAGCAGAGGCAGCAGCGAGGGAAGGTGAGGGGGAAGAGGGTGGGAGGAAGAGATTGCACGCATGCGACACCAAATGGAACTCGGAAGTCGGAACCAGGCTACGGTCGAAAACGTTTGCTGAGCGTGTCGCGGCGGCGTCCCCAGCGACACGCTATGCCCTACAAGCGGATAGCGTGTCGCTCCGCTCCCCTGAGGCTCGGAACAATTCGGTAGATTGACACTTGGAAATGGAGATGTGTATAGCTTGTCGTCCCGAAGCATGGGTGGCCAGAGCGGGCGGAGCGACACGGTAAGCCCGAGCTCCTGGCCGTAATAACTGTTGTTTCTTACACGAAGGACTCAGCCCTGAGGACGAGAACCCCCACCACGGAGCCCTCCAAAGTGGCAGCGAGAAGAACATACGGGTATCGATGCAGAGAACCTGGAACACGTGGAAGTCGGAAATCCCGTGAACGTGTAAGGGGCCAATGCTGGAAAGAGCGGAAAGGGGTGGGCAACCCTGAAATCCGACGATACGTGTTTTTTGTTTCCTCAATCCGCAGCCCGAAAAGTCTCGGCCGCTTCCCCAAGGAACTTGTTCGTCCCGGATCCGTGTTTGAAGGCCCCGCGTCCCGATGGACGGCCCTGGAGGCCGAAATCGAGAAACAGACGCGGGCTCACACAATCAAGCCGTCGGGGACCTGGGCAGACTTGCCTTTCGCAGCTGCGACCCGATAGACGGCCCTGGAGGCCGAAACCGAGAAGCAGACGCGAAGCTCGCACAGTCAAACCGTCGGAGATCTGGGCAGATTCGCCTCTCCCAGCTTCCCTGTCTGGTTCTCTCCCCGGCCGCTGCAAGCGCCGCTGTCGGGTCGGGCGAAAGGGGGGGATAGCAAAGGGGGGGTTGAGAATCAGCTCACGTAGCTGATTCTCCCGGCGCCTCCCGGCGCCAGGAGCGGCCACGTATCGAGGAATGGGCCCCTCGGTGAGGCCGAAACCAGCTGCATGCAGCAAATTTCGTAACCCCCCCTTTCCCAATCCCCCCCTTTCGCCCGACCCGACGTTGGCCCACCGCCCCCCCGCCCCCTGCCGCGAACCTTCCGCCGAGGCGGGCGGCGGCCTTTCTCGTGCGCCAGGGCCCCGGCGCGCACATCCCCGCCGCGCGCCGCGGCGCCCGGCGCCCGTCTAGGGTGGCCGAACTCGCGAAGAGGTGGCTCCTCCTCCTCCTCCTCCTCCTCGATCCTCGATCCTCTATCCTCTATCCTCCATCCTTGTTGGTATACCCTCCTACTCTGCCACCTGGAGGGCAGATAGCGACCCAACCCAGGGGGTCCCATCCTGTATGTCCAACAAGAATGCCAGCTCTCTCGGCGTAAGTGGTTTAGAGAGTTTCCTGTTCCATCTTCCCTTTACCCCTTCGGGGAAGGCTATACCTCTCCCCTAACCCCCTCCCCCTGGATCTGGACGGGGCGTTTCGCGAGGTGTCAGAGGAATCTTTTTTGGCGTGGGCGAGGAAGCCCGCCTGGATGCTACTCGACGAATCGCTTCATATGCATGAGCTCGCCCAATCACCTCCTTTGGGACTAGAAGGAAGCAGGGGGCCCCAGCCTTTGACCTAGCTATCCTCCTCATATTCTTATATACTGGTATGAGAATCTCGATTGTTTTTCAAAATGCTTGGCCCCGGGAAAGGTCCAGCGAGAGTCCAGGGAGGGGTCCGGGAAGGTCCCAGGGGGAGTCCTGGAAGGAGTCTCTAAGACAAGGTCGTTCTCGGAGGCATCTTGGAGCCCTCCTGGGCGCCTCTTGTGAGCATCTGCGGCCGTGTTTGGGGCCACCTTGGGCCGTCTTGGGGGTTCTCTTGGGAAGTCTTGGAGCCGTCCTGGGTCGTGTTGGCCTTGTCTGGAGGGTTTGACGATGTTCCGACTTCCCAGGAGGGGTGGGCGTCTGGGCCTGGGCAGCCAAGATGGCTCCAAGGGGGCTCCAGATAGCCCGAGATGGCTTCCAGAATGGCGCGCGCTGGTCGACGCTAGCCAGGGATGGTCTCCAACATGCGTCCAAGAGGCGCCCAGACGGCCACAAGACGGCCCGATGCTGCCACAGAGCTCGCCAAGAAGGCGCCCGAGAGGCGAACATCATCAAATAATAATAATATGCTGTTACATGTTTTCTGGCTTCCCAGCTCTTTGCTTGTGATGGACGTCGGCGGCCTCAAGATGGCTCCAAGAGGACCCTAATAGGGTCTACATGGGCGCAGAATGACCCCAAAACGGCCCCAATACGGCCCCAGGATGGCCCCAAGATGGCTCAAGGTGGCCCCCAAAGGCGACTTTTTGGAGGCCCTCGGGGGCGAGGGGCCAGCCTAAGACCGTCCAAAAAACAGAAAGACAATTGAGGGCCCTCCGGCAGGCATCTGGGACGGGCTGTTTGGGGGAGGGAACGGGCGGCACAATTTTGTCGTCAGTGGAAGGGTCAACCCGCTCCATTAGGGGAACTCATTCTTCTGGACCTGCACGGGGTGGGGGCGGCGGCTTGTTAGAGCGTCCAAGATGGCCTCGGCGAGAAGGCCAACATCATTGACTTTACAACTCTTTTGGCATTTGCAACCTTTAGGCCTCCTTGGGGGGGGGGGGGCGCTAATTTGCTACGGCCGTCCCTCCTTTGATCGATCTCCTCCAAGATGGCCCCAAGATGGCCCCAAGAGGCTCGGAAGCCCTAGGACGGCCCCAAGAGGTGCCCAGGAGCCCCCAAGATGCCCAGGAGGCCCAAGAGGCCCCAAACTGGCTCCCAAGAGACCCCGAGGAGGCCCAAAGAGGCCCCCCAACGCCACCCAAGACGTCCCAAGAGGCCACCAGGACTGCCAACAGGCCCCCAAGACGCCCCAAGAGGACTCCAAGAAACTCTCGAACGACATCCGAAGAGACTCCGAGAGGCATGCAAGAGGCATCTGGCCTTCCCACTCGCCCACCTCCTCCTCCTCCTCCTCCTCCTCCTCCTCCTCCTCCTACTACTCCTCTTCTTCCTCATCCGCCTAATCCTTCTCCTCCTCCTCCTCCTCCTCCTCCTTCCTCCATCTTCCTTCCTCTCCCCCTCTCCCCACTCATCCTTCTCCTGCTCCTCCTCCGATTCCTTCTCCGTCCCCTCCGTCTGGGGTATGATGCCTTACCCCAGGTCCTTTATTCCACTGCATGCTCCGCCGCACCCCTGATCAGGGCAACTGATCTGGGCATCGTTGCTTGATGGGCTGGTGGGGCTTCTCGGAGCGTCTAGGAATTCGCAGTGCTACCTTCGCAAGCAAGCCCGTCGGAAGCGAGGGCCGCGCGCGAGCGCCTTCCGTTTGCGAGGTGGGAGCACACTCCAAGGCAAAGGTGAAGCTGTGCCACATTCGATTTATGGGTTGTGGGGGGGCGGGCAGGAGCAGGCAGGGCCCTCTGACTCGATCGGCGTGGCTAAATTGACTCCTGCTCCCACTCCCTCCCCCTCCTCGTCCTCCTCTTCCTTTCCTCCGCACTTATCCCTCCTCTTCCCTCCTCTCCCCTCCCCCTACCCCCCTTCCTTCCCGTTTCCCTTCCCTTTTCCGTCGTCCTCTTCCATCCTCGCTCCTTGAAGATAACTCCTCCCTGTCGCGCCCCCAGACGTGTCCGCAGGGCGGGACCAGTCGTTATGCCTGCGTCTTTCTCACCACATACGATCCCAAAACTTCACAAGAACAACACAATCACTGGTAGAGGACTGGCCATTTTCAAAATGCGGTTATCGCTTTAGCTCCGCGCGCACGTCTTGACATGTGCACCAACGTCATGGATGGAAGGCGGGCCCATTTTAACATGTGCCTCTGGCCTTAGCAGTGCGCGCACTCGCCTTAAAAACAACAACATCATCACAAAGGAGGAAGCGGCCTTTTTCAAACGGTGGCCCTGTCCTTAGCGTCGCTCGCATTCGTGTTTGAACATGCTGCAGCTTAAAGGATGGAGGGCGGTTCCTTCTCAACATGTGTTTGTCGCCCCAACGGTGCACACATTAGTCTTCGACGCAGCAAATCAAACGGCCCGTACGGTTGAAGTCCCAAGGATGGTGTTCAGACGTGACTTAGGAACGTCCAAACGCAACGCGCACGTTGATTCGCGGTGATGAGGTCCCACGGACGGCGTTCTGGCACGAACTGACATAACCGGGCGCAACAATGACGTGGATTCGAGGCGGTGACCAGGAACTATGTTTTGGCACGGTTGAAGGTTCTCACACGGATGTCGTCCAACCGGGCAGGTCCTGCAGTGAAAATGGAATATCGTAGGGAACTCAGAAGAGGGTCATTGACTTTGTTGGCTTGCAGCGTCTATGATGCGTCTTGGGTTTGCACTGGTCCTCCTCCTCCCCCTCCTCCTCCTCCTCCTCCTCCTCCGCCTCCTCCTCCTCCTGCTCCTCCTCGAATACCTACCAGGAAGCGTTCCGCAATGCAAAACGTGCCTACGCACTGAGGAGCCGCCCCCAAGGCACATTTAAACCTCGAGGGTACAACAATTTCTCGCCGGCGGTCCGTGCGCCGCACCAAATCCAAAGGCACTCAGGAACAATAATTACCTCTTGCTCCTGGGCCGCCCACACGCGGCGGCCCTGGCGACCTCCTATCGCGCCAGCGGGGAAGGCAGACCCTGGAAAACTCCAGACTGGGGCTGATGGCCCGCCCGCAGGCAATCGAGCGCCGCCCAAGCTAATCGAACCGCTGCCCGTTCGCGTTGCGACGAGGGCTGGCACGGGCGCGCCAGGAGGTGGGTCTGCCTGCGCCCGTAGGCCCCGCACATCGCGCAGAACACGATGGCCCCACCATTCCAAGAGACAACACTCCCAGCCAGCTCCCGCCCGACGTCCCGCCCACGAGCCACGCAAATCATGGGACTGGTGGGGCTGGGCCGCTGCCCGGGGGATCCCAGGGCAGGGGGTGGCCACGACGCGGGCCTTCCTCGCTCGCCCCGCAGGTGCTACATCCCCAAGCACGGCCGAGACGCACGACGCTTTGGCCCGCGGGCGAGGACTCCAGCGCCAGATCGTTTTTGGAGGGGCCGAGGGGCCGAGACAGCGGGGCGGTCGGGCCAGCCCTCCCTCGCCACCCTTTTGAGGACAGCCATGTGGTGCCCAGGAGGGCGCACGCCGCCTCTTTCGCGGCCGCCCGCAGGCCATGCTGCGGGTGCAGTCGGGCTCCGAGCTCGGCCCTGGCATCGGCCCCCTTGCTGCCGCGGTGCCAGGCAAGCGGGGCCCCCTCACGCCGCGCCCTGACCCAGCTGGCGCGGGTTCGGGTCCAGCGCAATGCGAAGCTGCCCCCGCTGTTGCATATCGACGAGCCGCGCCCAGATCTGTGTCCAGAGCCCGGCGTATTTCGATCATACCGAGCAGCACCAGGCTCGACCTCTGGCATAGTCCTGTGCCACGCCAAGGCAGTCCGTCACCACCTGCAGTGCGCCGACGGAGGCTTCCTGCAGCACGCGGAGCACCGCGTGCAGCTCGATCTCCTGGATCGAGCCTGGGACGCAGCCGTACATGCTGCCCTGGAGAAGGCCATCTTCGCTGACCACGATCGCCGCCCAGCCGCGCCTCGACAGCTCCGCCTCGAGGGGCAGCTGTCGGACCCGTCGACGCAGACTGTGCCGCTGAAGCCTTCGCGCTGCGCCAAGCCCGCTCGCAGGCAGACCTCCGCGGCGCTCGGCGCCAGCGCGGCCTCGTCTCCTACCTCTCTTCCTCGCTGTTCCTCCACCTCCACCTCCTCCTTTTCCTCATCCTCCTCCGCCTCCTTCCGCCTCCTTCCGCCTCCTCCTCCTCCTCCGCCTCCTCCTCCTTCTTCTCCTATCCTCCCGCCGTTTGGGGTGCCCCCGGTTCCTTTCAAACTCCTGTCAAGCTCCTGAAGAGAGGCATCAGAGTAGCGAAACCTCGAGCATCCGCAAAAAGCAGCTTGCCGTCGCATCCCTTGGTCCGACTCGTGCCGCCATCGATGAGCGCGAGTGGCGGCGCGCAGAAGCGGATGGCGCGAGGGGGGCGGCTTTCCAAGAAGGCGGGGCGCTTCTCAGAAGGCAGGCGCCAGGGCTAAGGCAGGCGCCAGGGCTCAGAGGCTTCTCGGGCGCGGTCGGAGCTTCTCGTGAGGCTTCTCAGAGGCCGGGGGGGGCTTCAAAAAGCCCCCTCGGGCCCCTGGATGCGAGCCGATTGACGCCTTGGCCCGTCAGGCTCTGCGGTTGAAAGTTCGCCGCTCCGCGAGTTGTTGACGGCCTGAAGCCTTGCTGCACGATGCTACGAGGCCGCTATGCTGGATGTCGCTCTACAGGACGGCGGTTCGTCGACGCCGCCGCCGCGATTTGGTCGGTACGACTGTCACATAGAAAGACAGAGGGGGCCGCAGCAAAACAAGGGGAGCGATGTGGAAGAGAGGGATAGGAGAGGAAAGCGGAGGAAGAGGATGGGAAGGCGCACGGAGAGGAGGAAGAAGAGGAGGAGAAGCAGGAGAGGCGGAAGGGAGCAGGAGAAGGAGAAAGAGCAAGGGGAGGATGATAAGAGCAAGGCATGCGCGAAGATCGAGAGAGCGCTTGGGAGGTCCAGACGTTCGACTCTCTCTGTTCTTGTCGATGCGTGGGCCCCCGGAGGCCTGGACCACTTCCCCAGGCCCCGCTGTTCGTCCTGACTCGTTCCTCTTGATGGTCCTGGGGCCCGTCGAGGGCCCCCGGAGGCCGTCGAGGGCCCCCGCAGGCCGAACACGGTGCCGCCGCGATTCCTGCTCGGAGCATCGGGCCTCCGGGCGCTTGTGGGGCGCGGCCCCGGGCGGCCTCGCGGGTCACCCGCCCTGCCTCGGGCGCTTCCTGCCCGGAGCGCCCCGGGCCGGCTTCTGCCCCCCGTCTCCGGTGGGCCTCGCCTGGCAGGGAGGGGGGGGGGGGGGTGCGGGCGGCTCGGGGGGAGGAGCAGATCGCAGAGGGGAAGTCAGGGCAAGCCTCTGTGCCCGCAGAAGGGGGGTGGCCACGTGGGGCACAGGCGGGGAAAGCAGCGAGGCGTTGCGGCCGGCACAGCAGAAGGGAAAGAAAGGAGCAAGCCGGAGCCGCGGATTTCACTCTCCAGCGAGTGATGAAAAACAAGGCGGAGCCGCGGATTTCACTCTCCAGCGAGTGGTCAAAATCAAAAGAGCCCACATCACATGCAAGGAATGTCGTTGCAACCGCTCCTTGGTGGAAACTCCCACCAGCCCTTTAGGGCGTGATAGGTCTAGATCGCTTCCTCTTCCAACCCCCCGTCTTCCCCTTCGGGGAGGGGTTTGCCCCTCCCCCTTCTCCCGTCCCCTTGACCTGGATGGAGGGGGGCCGCGGGACGTTGGATCGTCCAAGAAGGCTTCGGGGAGAGGGCAAACATGATGGGCCAATGTTAGGCTCCTGAGGGAGAGGTGCTCATCAAGTACCCCCTATTCTTTGATCGATCTCCTCTAATATGGCCCCAAGACGGCCCCCGGATGTGCCCACGAGGCCCCGAGAGGCTCCCAAGAGGCCCCTAAGAGGCTCCGACGAGAACTCCAAGAGGCCCCGAGAGGATCCCCCGAGGCACCCAAGACGCTTCAAGAGGCCCACGGGGCCGCAAAGATGCCTCCAAGATGCCCCCAAAACACTCCAAGAGAAAGCTCTCAAGAGACATCCGAAGAGACTTAAAATGGCATCCAGGAGGCCTCTGGCCTTTCTGCTTGTCGTCGTCGTCGTCCTCCTCCTCCTCCGCCGACTCCTCCTCCTCCTCCCTCCTCCCTCCTCCCCCCCTCCCCTCCTCCTCCTTCTCCTCCTCCGACTCCTCCTTATTCTCCCCCTCTTGAGGTATGACGGCTACCCCAAGCCTAATTCCTCTGCGTGCTCCTCCACATGCCTGACCAGGGAAACTCGCCTGGGCATCCTTTCTTGATGGGCTGGTGGGGTTACGCGACTCGTCTGAGATTTGAAGAAATAAACTGGCTCACTACTTCCGTCGCTCGCATAACGAAGGAAATAAACGTGTGGGTCGACATGGTGTTTCTGAAGTCTTACCTGTTGCCTGCTCCCGCTGCTACTCCTCCTCCAAGCCCCCCTACCACTGGGACCCGCTGTCCAAACATGCTACCTTAAGGCTGCATGCTCTCCTGGCGCTTTCTGTCCTTGCCCCAACTGCACATCAAACAAACTGCATGGCACACCGCAGCGGAACTGGCAGAACTGCTCTGGGACTTCCTGGTTTGTTCCTCGGGGGCATCGAGAGCGGAATCCGGAAACCCTTGGAGAAGTCGAGACGTGAAACAACGCTCGTGGAACATGGCGAAGATGACGACAACCGAGAGAGCGAGAAAATCATGTCAAAAAGATAACAAAGAAGGAATGTGGAATCCACTGGCCCCCCTTGGGCGCCAGACTGTCAAGTCCTCTGCTGGACTGCGATCTGCTGCTCTTTGCGCCACCTTCGTCAAAACCCCCAACGCGTCAACAAAATGGCCCAAGAAACGGAACCATCGCGCCCAAAAACGCCCTAATCCCGACAGGCCCCCAACTGGCGCCCAACAAGCCCCCGAAAAACCTTCCAGCCAACAGACAGGACACTGCGCTGGTTATGGATCAGAACATCAACCGAATCCTTCTTCTCATCCAAACTGGAACCAATCATAAACTCAATCACCTCCCCCAGCTGGCATTCATCGATGCCCTCCTCCTCCTCCTCCTCATCGGAGGAGGACTTATAACAAACAAACAACAGCAGGACATTGCGGATGAGGGACTGAGAGACTGCGGATATAAACGAACAAAATCAATACGAACGCGAGTTTCGACATGGCACTAACCTAAAAAGGGTCTTAAGCTCCTTTGCCTCTTCGTCTACCTGCCGCTATTCGTCACATACTGGAACAGAAAAAAAAGGTTGTGGAGTTTTGGGCCACGCAAACTCAGACTTCTAGCGCTGGGCGCTGAAGTGGAAACGGGTCTCGAACTCAACCTTCTCGTGTTCGTCCTATTTTCATCCTTACCGCCGCTCATTGCTGATATTTTTTCCTCCTCGTACGCTCGTTTCGTTTTCTCGCGCACGGGGGGGAGGGCTAAAACGTCGGGTTGGTCCTGGCAGGAAACGGGAAGGGCACTTCCAAACAACGCCCAAACAAACCCCCGCAAGGTATTTAACGAGGCCCCAAGAGCATCGCAACAGACACGCAACAGATTTCACAGCAACTGCTAAGAACCACCCGGGATGCCATCAAAGAAAAACGCAAAGCAACACCAGGCGGATGACGAAGGAGGAAGGAAGAAAACAATGCTGCTGCGGACAAGCGAACAGTTTGCTCGACACCCGACCCACGGGAAATAAAACGCAGAACTGCTCAATCGGTTTTCTGCTGCACTGCTGCGCTGTCATGGTAGCGTGTAATGTCGCAGGCATATGCAAATCATTGATAAACGATCGTGGTTTCAATGATGTTGCCCGGTCCCACGCTTTGCTCCTAGGATGCTGCCATATCGCTGTAATGTGTCCAGAAAACTCCGGCATTGTCCAAGAGCGCCCAGCAATGGCCCCCAAAGGCCCTGAGACGCCGTCCACATAATAACAAGGAAAAGTACAGGGCTTGGCCATGAGGTAGTATGCTGACAGCCCCACTCCTTGGATAACGTCGGCGATGTATCGAAGCATCCCACAACTCATCCCTTGATGGCAAGCAAGACGAGAGGTAAGATACAAGCCGTGGGATCGGGAGATGGATCATAGAAGGACGCGGTCTTTGTCCGTTGCTATGAAGCGCGAAAAGAGGTACGCAAGGCAGTGCATCTAGCATATAGGACTGAGCAGTCTCGAGCCAAGACAGCGTCGGATATAGCGTTCGCCTTACAGCCTCTCTTTAAATATCGTGCAAAGTCGGGGGGGGGGGGGGGGGGCGAGCGCTAGATCCCAGTCCTGACTAATTCAACCCAGTTAAAAAGAAAGATAAGGAAGATGTTTTCCAACATCCCTACCAGCATGCAATACCAAAACACAGAAACGGCAGCACAGAGCATTAAGGCTAGTCATGGCGCACTGCCACGACCAGCCGCAGACGAGTATGGGTAGTCACGGGCAAGTCCACATGACTACCCACAACAAAAAAGGGGGGATGGTCAGCCTGTGGGCCGGACGTCAAAGCGTGCAGCGTGCGATGGGGGTGTGACCAAGAGGTCAGATCCCCTCTGAAACTAAGAGAGAATAGTGGCCGTGTACAGGCACTTGTGGTAGCTGCGGAGCTATGGGCGTCTATGCCCGTGGCTGGGCGAGGATAGCCGCGTTGTAAATAAACGTGCCCGTGTCCTCATTGGGTATTCGCTGGCCCTGAATACGGCACCCCTATATTGGTGGAGTCTTTCTTGTCTCGGCAGGGCAAGTACTTCGTTGCTTCGTACTTGAAGGACCGATTGCCTTCCATTACTTGCAGCAGTAACGCGGCATCGATACGCCCCTTGGCATGGCCGTCAGCGGTCGCATCTCGTGCATCGCACCGTTGTATGCAATGAACTGTACATCGGTCCATCATTTGTCTTATCCAGCTGGTGTGTCCCAGAAAGGCACATTCGGTCGGCATCTTCAAGTCCTTAACTTGACGCAGGATTGAAGACCGACTCAGCGTCAATGGTAATGATGGCCGAAATGCTGAGACCACCTAACTCCATAATGTTCTTAAGTTGCATGGGCGTTAGGGGTCCAGCTTTAAGCTCGTGTAGCGTGACTACTGTAGGGTAGCGGCCCACCGAATATTACAAGCGGTTGCTAGCGTTTCAGCTAAATAGCTGGAGCGCACCCGCAAGCGATGCGACTTGCAGCGCGCATCATTCGGATGCACTACTGCCGCGATATTGGGCGCGCGTCCGCGCAGAGAAAGGCCCGCTCCACGGATGCTTGATCCCTTTACTTCGTCGCATTCGTCCTCATTAAGGCGACGGCATCCTCAGTCGCTATAAAGATCCACTTCTCCCGTCGGAATCATGAGTGCGTATAACATGTTCATTGGATATTGTTGAAGTTTGCGCGAGACAGCGCTAAATCATCGCGCTTGGAGTTTTGTGTAAACCTGTGCGCAGTGCAAGGGTACCACGTGCATCATATCCCACTCTTGAGTGATCAGTGCATGCGCCAAGGCACTGCGTGAACTGATGGGCATGTCGGATGCGGTCCCCGTCGCCTTTTCTTCCGCTACAGCGCCCGTGAGTTCTGGGTGTCGTGTTGGGCGAAACTGTCTTCATCCTGATCTACCTGGGCGCGGCCGCCCTCGGTCGCAATGCATCGCGCGGCGCAGTTGGTGCAACCGTGTTTGTTCAGTCTGCGTGCGTCGAACGTACCTGTTACACAATTGACGTACTTGTCGATAGTGCCCCCCGCTCCTGCTATGTTTATGTCATCAACTTGCTCAGCTGTGAGGAGCATTGGGCGTGCCTCAAAATCTTCGTCATACGACGTAGCTTTTAGCCCGAAACCTCGCATGATTGTTCTGAGCTTCAGTGAGAATGCCCTAGGGGCTCTGCGGTGCCTGCCTGGTCTAAGGCACTGAAGGCAATGCTTTGATTCCTCAGATGACGAGGGGGCCGGGCAACGTGCTCAGCACCGAGGCTGAAACGGGTGGAAGAGCAAAGCAAACCGCGCGCTCTTTCTCTCCAGTGGCTTCTGCCAACTCACGGTAGGTCAGATCCTTTCAGAAAGCCTTATCGGTGTCCATGGGTGGTATGATCTATTGTTTATTGCACGCGGCCGCGCCGGCGAGCAATCTCTGGCTTGCTCGACGAACTGTACCTGAGGCGGCTTCTACGTCGAATGCTTCGACATCAATAGAGCCACGAAGAGCGAGGCGCAATCGCATTGTTCGTCTCATTTCACATTTATCTTTCTGGACAAACTTCTACTTGTACACGTACCTAGAGGTCATGCTGTTGGTCGCACTCTTGCTGTCTTGCGTCTTGAAACATTCATTATCGTGCCATAACTTGATTTCCGTGCACAGAACTCTAGATATCTGTCGGGCTGACATGTATTTCTGCCTTGGTCAAGAGGTTGTCTTCTTTGACAATCGCAGCTCCTTTAGCTGTGGCTGATACATATACACGCGCTGCGGTTGCCTGGTCGCTGCGTAGTGATTCGCATTGTTGATCCGGTGGAACAACCTTAGCCACGTCAGCAGTAACGCATAACTCACCATACTGACCGTGGTCGTCCTAATCGAACTCGAAGTCTCGTCGCACTGTGGTCCAAGGTACCAGAAAGTTTTCCGTTTTCTCGCAAGTGTCCTTGCTCTACACTGGCCACAGCCACGAGCGCGTGGTTGTCGGTAACCATCTCGGTGGGTGCAGAGCAAAGGGGTTCCTCTAACGGGGTCTCGAGCAGCTCCTTTCCCCCTTGAAGCTCTACATGCCACGCGTCCATGATGTGTGCCTCCAAATCCGTCTCTGATTCTCCAGTGCAAGTCGGTAGCCTGCCGTCCAGTGCAGCCGGCGCTGGAGGTCTGTCCTCCCTTTGGGCGCGGCCAGCCAACGCTGGCGCGTCCGCCGGGCCCTCAAAGTTTGAGAATTCCTCAGCAGTGCATGCCAAAGGTTTTGATGACCTGAAGCGCTGAATGATTCGCGCGCGCGGTGCCAGGGATGTCGCGAATGTAAAGAGCGGTGCCTTCTGACTCACAGTGGCGAGCCCATTGTGCAACGTCGTTGTCATGGCATGCCAAGGCGCAACTATCAGCGCAGGGCGCTGCCGGAAGCCCGTGCATGCTTTTAGCCGCGCGTGCAGTTGCAGCGTTATCTACCCTAAAGTAGTTTCCGATGAAGAACTGCAAGACTATGTATGCTTTGGGCGATAGCCGACATGCCATAGTCATCCGAGTTCCCCTGCTCGGTCGGCACGCAGCCAAAGACCACGGCAGGCGCCCCCGCGAGCAGGCTCGCGATAACGGCCAAAACTGCCCGCGTTGCCGTAGTATTCGAGCCGGTCTCGCGGACCAACCGCACTTCAATATATGGCGCGCGTCGTAAATCTGGGCGTTGCATCAGGACTGCCCGATCACCGACCTGCGCTACTGCCTGCCCACGGTCAGGGTCGTTACGGGCGACGGGGCACGGACCGTTCAATCCACCCCAGTCGTCCTTGGCAGTGGTCGGACGGCGGTAGTCCACGAGATCTTCTGGTTGATAGTTGTGGTGTCCCGCAGCTGTCGTCTTTTGTGCGGGGGGCTCCTTTGGTTTTGGCTACTGCAGT